TAAGGACTTGGATTCACTTGGTGTTTCGAGTTGACGCCAAATTACGAAACTATGAATCGGCCGAGTTTTAATCGATGGAATTTGCAAAATCTTTTAATCGGCAGAAGAAATATGAGACATATATTAAGAGATTTTATTAGATTGTTTCTCGTTGCCTCGTTTTTTTAAATAATACTAAATGTATATATTATTTTTAAATTATATTAGTTTAATTCCTATTTGTTTCATATGACTTGTCTTGCTTGTGTTTTTTGTCCGAAATCAGCTGCGGTACATACTATTTTTCAAAAGTACATTTCACGTCATTAAATGTTTAATGGATTTTATGGCTCAGATGAAGTTTTCGAATTTTTCTTTTTTCTCTTATTTCTGATTGCATTTTTTTGAGGTTCGCTTACAATGCAATGTTTGAATGCAATGACAATAGTCGGTACAATTTCCAAATTCTTTTTATCAGCTAAATTATTTTTTTATTAGTTTTACCTTGAAATATTTTATAACTGAAATCCGAACAAAATTTTGGCTTTCCATTTACTATATTTTTCGAAAGTAATTTAGTTCACGATTATTATTAATTATTACCATATAACTTTATGCTAATTTTGTTTATATAATAAATTCAATATTCTCTTCCTTACAGTGGCCCTTCTTGTGTCCAAATTTGATTTGCCCATTTATTTCCTGTTTCATGAAGATAGATTAAGGTATTTGCTGTTTTAATAGCCGTATTTGCTGCCTTGATAATTGTTACTGTTATTTGAAGTTTTCAATGTCAGTAAAGTAGTACAACAAAATTTAAGCATTCTTGTGTTTTATTTTTTTTAATTTAGCTCTTGTTTACTTTTCCATTTGCTGCTACATATTTTTTAAGTAATTACAGATTTGCTATTATGTTGAATATGCCTATGTATTTTTATACCCTGAACATGGTGTATTAAGTTTGCCACGCAGTTTGTAACACCCAGAAAGTAATGTCGGCGACCTTATAGAATATATAAATAAATGATCACCATGACGAGCTGAGTTGATTTAGCAATGTCCGTCTGTCTGTATATATACGAACGAGTCCTTCAGCTTTAAGCTATTGTTTTGAAATTTTACCTGTCCTTTCCTAACTAAGAAGCTGTACATTTGTCGGACCACAGCATATATCTGCCATATAAACTAAACGATCGAAATAAAGTACTTGCATGGTAAATTTTTTCATTTGACGGGGCATCTTCACGAAATTAATTGTGAGTTATTGTTTAAGGCAATAATGTATTCTCCGAAGAAATTGTTCAGATCAGATCAGTATATCATATAGCGGCCATGCAAACTCAGAATAAATATCTGTTTATACCCTTTTATGCTATAAAAAGTGCACCTGTGAAGAGCAGGTTGAAGTTTATGGCATTTAAAATAAATTAGCACATATATTCAATGCACTGATGCTTTTTGAATTCTCTACAATTGGTAGCATTTCTATCACTTTTTTTTATTTCAGAATTTCCTAACAAAAACTATTTTCCTGAAGCGCTTTATGCCACCGAAATACGATGAAACTCGATACAGTCGAATATTCAGAAAAATGTTGCAATATTTTCAATGATTCCGTAACACTGAGATAATTCTGTTTGACAAGATAGATAGATAGTAGACCGGATCATATGATCATGAAGTTTTCACTTTGGAGATGGGTCAATGAAGCTGAGAAACCCTTCAACATTTAACAAGAAATGTAAATCGTGTCAATGTGTGACTGAATGATTAAACTACAACTAAAATTTCGTTTTTTAGAAGAATTCCCCACATGGCCAACCACTTTTACTTCTAGTCGTGCTCAACAAAATAATAACTTGTGAAAATTTTCAACCATAAAAACGATAATAAAGAATTACTGCTATAAAAGAAACATTCAAAAACAATATAGATGTTGTAAACATGGCATACAAGTGTCTGCTAACCTGTTTAGGGCAATTAACAGAATGCTTTTTCTCACTTCCACGACAGACGCAAATAACAAACGAAGGCGGTGTGTAGCGCAGAGTGCAAAACACTTGTATGTATTTAGTATTTAGATGTGAAAACAAAATAGAGCAACACAAAAACTCAAGCCAGTGAAAAAGACCATACAATAGCAGCAAAGGGGCAGAAGCCGAAAGGAATGCTAAGAACCATTTTTTTACAGAATAAAAATTCGTAAAAAAGATTTTGTGCTAAAAAAGCAATAGCCAGAAATTTATTTAATACAGACGTGTATGTGCGCTCCATGCACATCTCTTCGAGATGCTGCGACGGATAAAAGATAATCTCATCACATGTGAAGGTGCGTACAGATGTAGGCGAAAAAATAAGAACTGGCAGCTAATAAGAGAAATTATATTTTATAAACTTATTAGTTTATCTTATAAATTGTTTCATTAATTCAATAATATGCTGGATATGAAGCTATTGGAATTTTCGCATCCTTAGTACGTCTACGTCGAATTGCTTAGAGTTCCAATTTCCAAGATAAATGATCCGTTATACAGTTTTATGCAATTGGAGACTATTATTCAGAATAAGATCTGAAGGTCAATTCGAAGAGAGCGAAGAGAACTAGAGAGCAGAAAGGTGTTAGTCAAAGCTTATTGCAGGAGGCTACCTAAAAACTGTTAGATCTCATGCTCCATGCAATAAATTTGAGAATACTAAGAAGCCTTAGATTAGAATTATGATTAAAAGAATACTTAATTTAATTTTAAAGAGTAAAGTTGTACGACATTTGCTCAATTAATTCATATTATAGTATTTACAGCAGATAATCTTAGTTAGATTCTAATTGGAAAATATATATTATTACAATATGTTCTTTCAAATGCTAATTATAAAATTTTATTAGAATATAGGGGAAGGATACTTTAACGACATATTGAAAAGAATCGCGTATGTGAACCCCACAACTTTTAAACCGTGTTTTGCATCTTCCAAACCACTCTGCTAATATCAAAAATAAATGCAAGTAACTTTCTAATAGAACAGTCAATCAGAGTTTGAAAAAGGCAACTTGTACTTCAAACACGCTTACTTTGTGTAGCACAGTTTACGGTTTTATTATGCTTGTTCTCATTTTTACGATCACAACTGTGTATATGTACAAGTTTCCAAGTCGCAACACTTCCAATGTAGTCATTGAGCGCCATTAACTGCCTAAGGGGCACGACGCTGAATGCGACATTCAAGTGTCGACTCATTGCCGGAGCCTTGACTGCAACAATTGCCCTTGTTCTTTACGCTTGCGCACTTCATGCACTCTGCCTTCTGCGCCTCATCACCTATGCGCCGCTGCTATTTTTTATATTTGTGTGTATATCTGCAATAGATTATTATTTCTTTATCCCATTTTTCATGCCTCACATTCCGATGTTGTCGCCGCGTTCTAGACATTACATTTGCGCATTTACCGTGTCTAACCTCTTTGCGGTCGCATTGTTGCTGGTCTGTGGTTTACTTTTCAATCGTTGTTATTTTCTGCTTTTGTTTGTGGCTGCACTGCTTGCACCCTTTATTTGAGATCGTTATCGTCAGTATGTTTGTAGCATAATTATTAACGAGTCTTCTATTTGGAAGCATAGTTTCTTGCGTTGCTTTCTTGAACGAACTTTTCTATTCTCTCTATTTGTTTTTGTCTTTTCATATTTTTTCTTGTTTACTTGTCTATATGTGTTTGCTTTATCGCTTTATTTATCCGAAAAATATTTAATACAAAGCTTTTCAGTTGCGCCCGAAAAATGCCTCGCTTGCTGCGTTTTGGGCGAAACTTCACTACTTATTAACTGATTCGATATTTTATAATGGCTACCAGCTTAATTTTCTTTCATTCGTCTGATTGATTTTGATATGCCTTTTCTCCAAATTGTATTGATTTCGGTTATGTGTGCGCATGTGTGAGCAGCTGTGAAATAAAAATAGAAATCAATTTTGTTTTTATTTTCCAGCACAAATAAATAATTAACCACTACAAAAAATTAACTTTGCTCATCCATTGCTACAACACGTTTCGCTTTTACCCAATGCGCTCACAAACATACCTTTTCACACACACACACACACACATGCCTCCAATTTCGCCCAATTTCCGACTCATTGATATCCAACAGTTAATCTTATCATTTCTTATTATACTCTTGCAACATGTTGCAGTAGAGTGTAATAGTTTTGTTCACCGAACGGTTGTTTGTATCACCTAAAACTAATCGAGATAGATATAGGGCTATATATGTATATATAAATCAGGACGACGAAACGATTTCAAATCCTGATGGCTGTCTTCTGTAACTTGAGTAAAAATGGAGATATCGCAATAAAACTTGATACACGTACTTCTTGGCGATAAAGAAAGGACGAATTCGTAGATGGGCGTAATCTAACCACTGACTCGCCCACAAAATGCTATTAAATGAAAACATATAAAGTACCATAACTAAGTACACTGTAAAAATAGATAAAATCAAATGATAATCCCACCCTCGATAAATCAATAAATAAATGGCATGTGATATTATCTTGACATTCTTATATTCTGGTGCGAAAATTGGCGAAATCGGACTACAACCACCCCTAATTTCCATACAACACAATTTGAAATTCCATCTGATTCTGTCACTTTCCATGCAAATCAAGCAGCAATGAATGTATCGGGATAAAAATTTTCCCAAATAGTGTGTTTAAAGTAGGCCACCTTATTACCAAAAATATAAAGTTTTGCCAATGCCTGAAAGTAAGTCCACGACTTTTATCCTTGCAAGTTGCAAGATTATAAAATGTTTGGTTACATCCGAACTTAGCTTATAACTTATAACATTATTTCTTTTAGTGCACTGCTCATAAGTACGAAAAACTTTTGAATCGGTTAGAATATTATCTAATTTATTTATTAATTGTATCATTTATTACCTATAAACCGTTAATTTTCTATAAATGCTTTTTGTAATAAGATTGAAATTAATTTCTCCTATTTAACTTTTTTATTTTTACAGGTCAGCAATAAAAGCGCTTTGAGCCTGCGATAAACTCGTAAGTATTGTATTTTACTGACCATTTATTACTCTCTTTAATGTATATTCGTTACAAATATTAAGTTTTCATTGTTAAAGCAAACATAAAAGGAGTATTTAATATAATGGAATGATTATTCAACAATGATTCACAATTAAGTTATTTTATGTGAATGTAGTTAGATATTAAATTAAATACCATAAGTTTACACTCTCTTTACACTGTGCAACAAATTGATAGTGCTGACTTCTTAGATAATCTTAGGAAGAAAAGCAGAACCACACATTGAGTCTTTCTTCTTTACCTTTTAGTTATATAATTCAAAGTCTTCCAAAAATCGATTCCACATTAAAAACTCCTCAAATTTTTTATTCTCAATGAAATTCAGAAGTTACTATTTTTATAAAAAAAAAAATGCCTTATTAAGAAACTTAAAATTAGGTTAGAAATATCTATAGAGGAGGATACCCGTTAAAACATCGCTCATTTGTGATACCAGAAAAATTGCTGAACATGAATCAAAAAACCAAATCTGTTGGAGTGGCGAAGTGTCTCAAAATGTGTTGATAATATAATTGGAAAAACTGGATGGTCCAGAAGAAACATACTTACAGGGACTTATTCGAGTCCCGACTCTTATGGCTGCTAACGTTATGGCTCTTTACTCTGGACTTGTTCAGTCAGAATTTTTGAACTTTCTAAACAAAACTCATCTAAAAGTATAGCAAAAAATGTGGTTGGTATAGAAGTAATAGCTTTGAAACTTTCACAAACTCCGGTTTAAACTTATGTGTTTGTATAACAAATAAAGTTGCATTTTGAACGTTGGAGTGTTTAAGGATAGAGTGGTCATAGTAATTTTAGTTAATTTTATTTTAAACCATAAAGTAAGCCCAGTTACTTTTTCGGCAATTAAGAACTGATCAATGTAGTATTTAAAAAAATAAATTCGGCAATACTTGGCGGAAGTAACACTGGTACTGTCTCCATGCTTTCGTTTGAATCAATTTAGCTATAAATATTTGGTATAAAAAATATACATCAATTTAAAAAATTAATTTCTAAAACGCTGTAGATTCCGTAAATATTAGGAAATGTTCGCGGTAAAAAAATGACGATAAGGTGTGAACACAATTACATAATGGCAAATTTGATTATAATTTTTGCCGCTTAAGATAATCGAAAACTGCACGAGTAAATAACTGGATATAAATATGTATATAATTGTAGTGAAAGAGCACTTGAGTAGTTACGTACATACATATGTTTATGCATGTGTGGCTGTTTGGAAGTGCATACCAAACACCTTACTGCAGGATTATGTCGCTTGGCTTGGCTTGGCTGTAAAAACGTTATTAATTGCGGAAAAGTACAGTGACTGCCAGTTGCGAATTTGTCAAGCGTTAAAGTATATAAGCGAGCGCAGAAATCAAACGCAAACGTCTGAGATTGGTGCAATTCAAATCACTCTAATTTCGGTGCAGCAAAGTTACAACATTAACAGTTTTGCTCCAAATACCTGCCCATGAATTGTAGAGTTATGAAGACAGTGAATTTTCCACACTTTGGTTGGCAAAAATTTTGATTTCCTGTTTTTGATTTCGTTTACTACATTATCCTACACAGCTGTATTTTATTTACATATATACATACATATACATGGATGAAAAAGAAACAGAACGTGACAGTCATATCTTTCTTTTTATTAATTTGTAGTACATCGTTGTGGTTTTCAAAAATGAACAATCATTTTAGAGAGGACATTGGAAATGTTATACAATATCTCCTCTCTTCTTCACTGTATGCAATAGGTAGGAACGAGTGTCATTGGTATATTTTGAGAATCCAATGAGCTGAGATCGCAATATAAGAATAACAATGTCGTTTTTTTTAGAAAATGTTTCTTTCTTTCTGTTTTGGCTTTCTCTGCAAAAATCGAATTGATTGATAATGCTAATTATCATCAAAGTCAGTTTTATCTTTCAATTTAACATTAAAAAAAGATTTTTCCATATGAAATGTAATATACTCGATCTTGTTAATGAACTCGGGCTAAATTGGCAATACCGACCGAGGAAATCCATGAGGAATTAATGGTTAAGGACAATGGTTTTCATTACCCAGTAGAGAAGAATGTGCTAATGGTTCTAAAAGCGACAGTTCCAACTGCGAAATTTACATATTCACCGAATAATAAAAAGGTGAAATGGGAATAGCTGCGGACTTCTTATGTAGTAATCCATACGCGGAAGGTAGCTTCAAACTAAATGACTACAATTCAGTCTTTCAGGCCGAAATTGTTGTTATAACAAAAGGTGAAAAGTGGGCTTCCGCTCTAATCAACGTTAAGATCTCACCTTCAGAATAAAAAAAAGTGCGTTCAGCGGAATTCAGACCATGCGGGGAGTATGTTGAGACGCTGAAACATTATCTTTGTGAATTTCCAGCTTTCAGCTCGCTGAGACGGTATATCATCCACGGCTCACAATGCTTTAACTTAAGAGACATTGGGCAGCTAGGTTCCAATCCATATAAATAATGGGCGCAAGAGAGTGGAGTACTTTTATATTGTTAACAGCAGCGTAGTTCTAATGACTTAAAAATAGATTAAAGTATTACTTAACGGATAATATCTCTACAATTTGAAATAATAACAGGGTCAAATGATGATCTACTAAATTTTTTACTTTAAATAGATTTCGAAAAACTCATGTCATTGTAAAGTTCTTTTAAGGCTTTAAAAATATATATTTGTTGCAGCTTTTCGAAATGCAGATTAGTTTAAAATTCATCTTAAGAATCTCAACAAAAAATTCAACATAGTATTCGAATGAAGAAAGTTATTAGAGAATAAGAGTAGTATGAGGTTTGCATCGCGACCTAGGATTTAATGTGGCCTTCATTATAGTTGATACTAAATTCATTATAGTGTTGTAATGGTATTCCAATATGCTACATATGAATAGTCAGACTTGTATTATTGATTATTATACTCTCGCAACATGCTGCCCAGAGTATAATACATAGTTTTCTTCACCTAATGATTGTTTGTATCAGTTAAAACTAAGAAAGATAGATTGGATTTATATATATATATATAAATAATCAGGGTGACGAGACAAGTTGGAATCCGGGTGACTCTCTATCCGTCTGTCCGTGCATGCGATAATTTGAGTAAAATTTGAGATATCGTGATGAAACTTGCTACATATATACAACCATGATGGTAATGTAGGGTTTTATAGGAGCAGGGAAATTCAATTGGAAATTGGTGAAATCCTATATCTCAGAAACTACTTAACCGATTTTAGCCAAATTTGGTGTGCGAGTTTACCCAAACATTCCTATTAGATGTTGTGAAAATGGGCGATTCTATCTAATTCTTTCACTTTACAGTATACAAATCAAGGATCAATGAAGTTATCAGAATAAAACTTTGCCAAATAGTGCTCGCTAGGTATTTTATCTTAAACCAAAAATTGTCGAAATCGGACTATAACTTTTCAGGGACACATACACCAAACATCTGGACCCCAGTGAATATGGCTAATTTTTTAACGAACATATGGGTCAATCTATGAGGTCTAGTATTGAGATTCGGGGAGAATATTTTGTGACAGCATTCCCTTGTGTCAAAAATGGGTAAAATCGAATAAATAAATCCCTTAGCTCCTAATATAAATATTTTCGAACTTCCGGTTGACTTTATACCGCAACTATCGGTCAAAATGTAAGAAATCTTAATGAAATTCCGAAAGTATCTTTTTCTAATAGTGCATCTTCTTGCCTGTGATTGTAAATAATGGATGCAGTACTTCCTTCTTTTAATTAAAATATATACGGAAATCGCGTATATCACTTTACGTCGCGAGAATATAAAATGTTCGGTTACACCCGCACCGGACACCTTCCTTACCAGTTGAGTTTGAGTTCTTTTTTTTAATTTCCACTCTTCTTTGTTTTTCATTATTATTGCTATAATGATTTCCTTATCGTGGACGCAATACAAAATATATATTTGTAGATTTCTAGTTTTCTTCTAGAAATTCAAATTATTCAAATGACTTCCCTTTACTCCTTTACTCTTATTCACATTCCAAATCAACAAACGCATCGATTGAATTTATATATTTTAATCACGTCGCTCACCAACTCAGCGCCAAGTCGAAAACTCATGGATCTTCCTTATTTGAGCATTACCCAGTAAGCTTTTTATTTTGATAACAATTAACGACGAAATACTGATTATGGTGGTTCATGAGGTCATAAAGGCTTTGTTTACAATTTATATGAAAGTTTGACAATTCAGTTCGTTTATGACATAGAGTATCTCAAACTTTTATATTACTTGTATATATCATTCTTGCTTCCTGAAACCTTAACGACAATTTATAACAATTGTATAAAAAGGTATTTTTTATATGCCAGTTAAATCTCAACTGCATGCTACGAACAATTTCTCAATATTTCGAGCACAAATTGAGAAATAAAGTTTGAGAAAATGATATATGGACACTCAACTTGGACTTTTCGAACATTGGAAAATATTGTTTGTTGTGCTTATGGGGTTGCCATGTCCATACCTATGCATATATAAGTTGGATTACCAGCAAATGTATACATGCATAGTTTCATTAATTTTTATAGCCAGTAAACTTACATAATCATTCGATATGTGGCTCCGATAGATTTTGCTTTTATCATAGAACATTTCTAATTTACGTGCGCACATACAAACACGTATGTATTTATGTATATGTGCAAATAATACGTCCATTCAAAAGGCGTACGCAACTTTTGCTGCTGACATCAACACGCTTTGTAATAAATATCATAGAAATGGTAATGAATATGAATATATTTTCTTCACAATAATCTCTACATTAATATCTCTCTTCTCCTCATCAATATATATGCATTCCTGTATGTATGTATTAGTTGTGCCCATATTGTATTTCTATTCCTGTCACTGAGTGTTCCAGCTCATCGCTCAATAGCTTATCGGCTTTTATTTGTTG